AATGAGGCAGAACGTGATACACCAGCCATGCAATGAACCAAAGTTTTTCCTCCGCGATCCTGAAGAGAAAAATAAAACTTTTTTATTTTGCCTATATTTCGGTTCTATAAATGGTTTAACTCAGTTTTTCCAGGAACAACCACAAAACTAAATTCTGAGTTTCTATGTACATCCAATTTAATTTCTTCTTGTATTTTTTATGCATTAAAATGAATTCGCATGAGTCATTTCACCACTCTAATAGAACCGGCTCACACTGAACAATGGATAAATAGTTTTTTATATTTTGGAACGAGGAAATGGCACCGTAAACACGTACAGTTCGAAATATTGTTGTTAATGGCTGGTAGTACGAGTTCCGTTCAAAAATAAAAAAATAGTAGATTCTTACAGAACGTCAAAAGAGGTCAGAAGACCATTCAGGACCATACTAAAATTTGGGCAAAAAACTCATTATTCCAAACTAAGCAATTCAGGTGCTTCTGGCATTTCCAAGAATTTTCCTCAAGTAACTGAACCATACCTTAACGGCCTTGATCTTGTCTGCTACTTGATCAAAGTAGTCCTGAATACGTGCATATGGATGGTCATCTATCCGAACTTTCATATATTCAACTCCTGAAAATATCAAAAATCATTCATTTTTTTACTTCCGTCTCAACAACTCAAACATCTCTTGAATTCTGTTACAAAATAGTAAACATTCCAAACAGTTGCTGTTGATGTGATTTGGTAGCGTCATTACATCACTCAAATTTCTGGTAAACCAGAAAAACAAAGCGCGTCAGTTTTTTGTTTCAAAAAACAAAAGTTTGGACGCAAATTTTCAAGTGGTTCTAAATTTTTACGAATTTGCAGGAATCTGAATCAATCTATGATTCCCATCAACTTCATTTCATTGATTATTTTGTAATCAATATATTTGTTTTTTCATTCTTCTACAGTAATGAGCAAATATGAATTCACGAAAAAAAAGACTACCAACCTTGAATATATGCGTTCGGTTCTTCTGTGGTCGCATTCACTATAAAGCATATCCGTTTTTGCTTGATTTTTTCCGGTTTCAAACATCCAGCACCGGACAAGAAGAGATCGTTGGTGATCTCGGAAATCTGGCCAAACACACCGACCCGAGACATCCTACAAGCATAGGCATGGCCAAAAAATCGATATATCGATCGCGAACGGAATAAAGCGGACGATGGCATCGGAAAATCGATATATCGATCG